TATGATGTCCACCCCCCTTGCCACGTCCTGGGGGTGGTGGTATGATGGCCACCCCCCTTGATACATCCTCGGGGTGGTGGTATGACGCCCACCCCCCTTGCCACGTCCTGGGGGTGGTAGTATGGTGGTCACCCCCTTGGTATCTCCTGGGGGTGGTATGATGATGGCCACCCCCCTCACCACATCAAGGGGGTGGTATGATGGTGGCCACCCTCCTTGGCATGTCCTGGGGGTGGCTCTCATACTCCTTGACTTAGCCAAATTCGGCAATCACCCCCATCACCATGTCATGGGGTGGCGGTATGATGTCCACCCCCTTGCCACGTCCTGGGGGGTGGTGGTATGATGCCCACCCCCCCCCCCCTCTGCGTGTCATGGGGGTGGCTCCCATACTTAGTCAAATTTGGATATGCATGGCGTGCGTGGTGGCACGGAGTAATGGGCCCAAAAACCCAATCCTCATGGCCCACTCAACTTATTTAAACTGATATGATTAAGTTGGCCTTATAAAGCCATTTAATTATTTGTTTTTAACCGATGTGGTACAAGGTTAATTTTTATGGGTAAACAGCTGCAGAAGACGAAAGTGGACGTGTGTTGTTAATAAATGAGCCGATATTTTCTTAATCTAACAAGCTTTTATTGAATTAAAGAATAAGCCACTCACGAATAACTCGGCTCATTAACAACACTATGTAGGACTGTATTAAATCAATTAAATAACTAACGAAAGAAAAGTTTATGTATAGAATTTAGGGTTAATACCTTATTCTGGCCCGAACTATGACCATATAATCAACTTTGGCCAGTGGTTTGAGAAATTAACATTATGACCCGAACTTTGCAGCATATAGACTCAATTGGCCGAAAACATGGTTTGACCGATTGTTTAGACGGTCAACACCATTGACCGTTAGTCAACTGTACAGGTCACCGCCATGTCAGCACCAAAGAAAAAAATTTTGAATTTCAATTTTCTTTTATTATTTCCTTACCTAATTAAAAAAAAAAAAAATCGACCACCCCTCGCCTATTTCCTTCTTCGACCAAAACCAAAAAAATCCCTAATACTAATCATTCTTCTTCTCCCTTCTTCCTCGACGAGCAGCATTCTCCCTAATTCAAATGAGCCATTGGAAGCACCCACCATATTTCTCAGGAAGGTCTTCCCTTTGAAGATCACTTCCACCTTCAAGGTCAGCCGACAAAGCTCCACCAGCGCCTCCCTCACCGCGTTGCTGTCGTAGGACACCCATTGCAGCCCGTCGAGAAACCTAAACATCGTCGCAAACTCGCCGTCCCACCGAATGGAGTCGGGAACGGGACCGACCAACTGGTTCCTGCCAAGCAGTGCGAGGCTGAGCATTTTCAAATTCCGGAAATAGGTGGGGATCCGTCCGTAGATCTGGTTGTTGTTCAGTTCGAAATGATTCAAGCACTCCAATTTGGAAACCGAGGACGGGATTTACCCCGAGGTTCTGTTGTCGGCGAGATTGAGTACCACGAGGCGGCCGAGATTGCCGATTTGGGAGGGGATCTGGTCGGAGTGGCTGTTGCCAACGAGATCCAGGACGCGGAGGTTCGAGAGCGAAGAGACGTAGTCAGGGATCTCGCCAGAGATGCTCTTCTAGTCAGCGACGATGAGCGTGGTGAGCTAGTCGAGCTTGCAGATGGCGGGGAAATGGTCCCGGTCATGTAGCCGGAGGTCCGCCCGACTTTTGTGAGGATTGGATCCTCCGACTCGCCGCGGAGGTTGATTTCGGTGACGCGGCCAGTGGCGGGGTCGCAGCTGACGCCGAAGTAGTGGGTGAATCAGAAACGAAGAAGAGGGAGCTGGGGTATTGCATACCGAGAGTGTGGGCTGAGGGTTGGGAAAGGGATCGTCGCGGAAGAAGGGTTGGGTAACGATAAGGTTGTGTGGGCTGAGTGAGGAGAGAGAGAGAATGAGGATTTTATTTTATTTTATTATTTTATTAAATTATTATTTTCCACATGGCATCCACGTCAGCGTAGCATGGTGATTCACTAACGGTCAATGATGTTGACCGTCTAATTTGACGGAACTTCACGAGTCGGGCCAATTAAGTCTATATGGTGCATTTTTTTTTGTCAAAAGATATCATATATTGAATAAAAAATAGACAGTTACACCCTGGAAACCAGCCAGGTATGGAAATCAAAGAAGTGACTCATAGTCAGATACAAAGAAATCGGCTCTATATGGTGCATAGTTAAAGCCAGTATGTTAATTTTTGAAACCACGTGTCAAAGTTGATTATATGATCATAGTTCGGGCCAAAATAATTTATTAACCTTAGAATTTACCTTGTTAAACTCGAGCATGATACCATATATATTTCTCGTCAACTTTATCTCTTTCACTTCCGAGGTTGATCCCCAAAGCTTTCACTCAAGTCATTTTCAATTTCAACCCCAAAAGCAGTGTTTATTATTATTAGACCATTTAATGGGTGGAAAGAGTAAAAAACGAACAAATAACTGCAATCCTCTTTTTTTTTTTTTTTTTTGTCATAGATAGATCGTAAAAGATAGAGTATTACAATGCGGTGGAAATGAAAAAGCGGTAGTCAACCATATGGATTGCTACCGATGCAAGGGCCGTTTATGCCACGCGATGGGCAGCCCTGTTAGTACTACAAAAAGCAAACACAAAAGATGCAAATGCAAAAGAGATCTTGAGCAATTGCACTTCTTCAAACACCGCGCCACCGTTCGTGATCATGATTGACATCATTTGTCTTGCAAACCAAGATCCGGTAACCTGTAAAACCAATGAAACCAACGCTACCTCCCACAAATTCATAGGTTAGACTACACAACTCGACAAAACACAATACCAAGCTGCCGTAAGCACTTGCTCCCTAGTCCCTAGCAAGTAGCAATACAATTCAACGAGGAGGTTGTTCGGTGAAAAAATATTTTAAGAAGAAGAGATTAAAATTAAAAGAAATAAATAGATAAATAAGTAAAAACAATTGGGATTTTGGGAGGTGGGAAACGTGCCTGACCACGAATAGAATCGTGGGAATGTAACTGTAGAGAAAAATGGAACCGCCGCCCAAAATTCTTGTTGCCGCCGAAAGGACTCGCCGCCAGCCGGAACTACTCGCTGCAGGAATCCAGATCACAACCCTTTTGAAGCCCCTGCAAAAGAAGGAAAAATCCACTGGAAAAGAATTTGATGGGTGGAGGAAAGGACATGTTCGGCGACGCACGATGGCGTAGGCAGCAAAATGCTCGAGCGCACGATGGCGAGAGAAAGAGCAATGCAGGTTCTCCTTCCAGAATCGATCTGTAGTAGGAAACCTCTTTTCGTTCTTTAAAAAGCGAAAGCAACTTTAGACAGATCAGGGTCTGCGCAGAAAGTGGCGACCAAAACCTCGATCCATCGCTAAAACCTCGATCCTTAATTCTGAATCCTTTCCTCTTGCCGCCGTCGATGCCGTCCTCGCTGCTACGGGAGAGAACCAGAGGGCGACGCTTTTGTAAAGTGGATACTGAGCAGAAGGAGCATCTCCGTCCTGAGCCTCTCTATCGGTCTGAAGATTCTCGAGTTGCTGGTCGATTGCCGCGGGCAACAAATGCGGATGCGACTGCAAAATCTGCACCAGGAACTGGCCCACCAGCCATGCTCACTGCAATCCTCTTCTTTAATGGAAAGACGTTTCAATTCATCTTTAATATCAACCCCAAATTAACAAACTCAACATCCATTACAAATTTACAATCATAATTTAAGAAGATATTTTGTGTACATGATTTGAGAAAAACAATTAAAGGTAGAAGCAACAAAAAACCCATACCCTTTCTTTGTTCCCGTCTTTAGTTGGGTTCGATTTTGTTGCGTGACTGTTTTCGGCCATTTGAACTCCTTTGTATCTGACTGTTTTCTCGGTAATACGAGCGATCGTTTTGGTAAAAAAAAAACAAAACAAAAAACCCATAAATAACAAAAATATAAAAGGAAAAAAATCAAGTCGTGCATTGCAATAACTTCCTTAAACCCCCAACCAATGACCCAACCATTTCCTATTTCTCCTTCTTCTCCCGCTTTCCTTGTGCTCATCTTTTCTTTCTCTCTTGCTCTCGCTCTCGCTCTTCTCCCTCTTTCTTCGTCTTCTCTAAATCTACAGCAATGTTTTTCTGGGCAGGGAAAGCATAACAATTTGGACTGCGCCTGTGCTAAAAGGAATCGACACTAACGGAAGGAGTAGAGTAAGGTGGGGTACAACCTTTGAACATCCATTAAATACTCCTCCGTTAAACGACAGGTGCTCTGTTTTTCCCTCAATGTACTCTGTTATTTTTTTCCTTTTACTCTTTACATGTGAATCTGTCGAGTGTCGAGTAAAATAAACAGAAAAAGGAAGTGAACCCTTTGAGCAACATAGAGAGGAATGGAGGAAAGGGCGACCGCGAATCTTTTCTTCTTGTTTTTACTCTAGTGATCACTGTTGGGTAACCTTCAAAACGCAGGCTTTTGTTTTTTTCAGGACGAAGAACAATGTACCCAGTTTCAAAATCTCTTCTTCCCCAAGTTGCAATTCTTCCTTTCTTTTTTTCTCTGTTGAGATTGGCTGTCACTTTCTTTTTTGTCTCCTTCTCTCATCGGGGTTTACTTGCTTTGCTCCCTACATTCTCCGTTTTTGTCTTGAATTTGGATTTGTCATTTCCCCTTGCTTTCCACTTCTCCCTTCCTTTCTTCACTCCCATGTGCTCTTTGGGGAAATGCATTAAACTCACTCCATTCCTCGTCATACCCAGATCAGTGCTCGATTCCCAGTTTCCGAGTCATTTCTGAAATGGGTTTTTGAGGTAAGTGCTCTTTCTTCTCCGGTCAAGCTCCCAGTCCTTAACCAGTGTTCCGTCTCTGAAAATCTCTCTTTTTGCAGGAGCAGGACCCGGAATTGCGCTCTAACTGTTCGACAAAAGTCCGGAGAGAGAGAGAGAGAGAGAGAGAGAGAGAGAGAAACAGAAAAATGAGAGATTTCCCCTCTTGTTTCAGCGAGAATGGAGTTCAGGTAGCCGATTCTTCTTCTTCTTTTGCCTCGTCTTCAACCGTCACTAAAACTGCTCAGAATCTAGTCACTTGCTTGTACCAATGTCGAATCCGTGGCCGTTCCTGCTTGATCACTGTCTCCTGGACCAAAACCTTGATGGGTCTAGGACTAGCCCTTGGAATCGACGATTCCTCACACCATTGTCTTTGCAGAGTTGAAATTAAACCGTGGCTGTTCTCTAAGAAGAAAGGGTCGAGGAGCTTGGAAGCTTACTCATGTAAAATAGACGTTTATTGGGATCTCTCTTCAGCGAAATTCGGATCCGGTAGCCCTGAACCACAACAAGGGTTCTACGTCGCAGCTGTAGTAGACAAGCAAATGATTCTCCTTCTGGGGGACATGACTAAAGAAGCCTTCAAGAAAACCAACGCCAGTGCCATTCTACCTCTTACTTCTAGTGCTGTTTTTGTAGCCAAGAGGGAACATCTCTCTGGCAAGAAAGTGTTCAGCACTAAGGCTCAATTCTGTGACAATGGTCAGGTCCACGATCTCGTCCTTGAATGTGACACGATTGGGGTCAGCGATCCGTGCCTCATGGTTCGAGTGGACCGCAAACGGTGTTGCAGGTGAAGCGGCTGAAATGGAAGTTCCGTGGCAACCACACCATACTGGTTGATGGTTTAGCTGTTGAAGTTCTGTGGGATGTTCATAATTGGCTGTTTGATGGGGGTAGTTCAGTAGGGAATGCTGTGTTTATGTTCAGGACGTGTCTTGAGAAGCTGTGGGGCGGAGGAAGCCAGCAGCAGCACGACGATGATATGAGTTTGTTGACTTGGTCATCATTCTCACAGAGATTCGTGGACTGCAAATCACATCAAAATCCTGATTTTAAGTTGGTCTTGTATGCTTGGAAGAGTGAATAGTTTTAGAGTCTATATCAGTGAGTTGGTCATTTTCTATTCATTATGTAATTGATTTACACGTAGTTTTCAAGATTGATCAAACACGGGCCATTTTTCGTTTCCAGAGTAAATCAGCAGTTCAATGAATCAAATACACAAAAATTTGTTCTATATATTACTTGCTGCACATTTCTTGTTTCGTGTTAACCAAGGAAAAACTTCAGAGTTCAAGATCACAAGGCTTCATGGTGAAGTTCTCAGTTAACTATTATATGCTTTAATGAAAGTGGGATCTAAACCTGTGGAAAAGCTCCATTTGTGCTTCTGTTTGTTGCAGTGTTTTCTACTGCAGGTTTCTATTTGAGGATGAGGTTATGACAGAGTTTCTGATTAGTTTTATTGTAGTTGCACTTGCACATGGATGGATAACTTCACAACGTGGTATAGAAATTCTACCTTATCTTTTTGTTTGATTCTGTCTACGGACTTACATATACAAGGTTCCATGATCATAGACGCTCAATTAGTGTCTTCATACCTGCAGTGAAGGGTTGCCATTTACGCTTCTGTAGAACAATATCAGCTGAAGAATGACGTTAAAGAGGTGAAACCTTGCAGGAACTGGAAGGATGACTGGCTTCTGTAGAACAATATCAGCGGAAGAATGACGTTAAAGAGGTGAAACCTTGCAGGAACTGGAAGGATGACTGGAGGCCAGAGGTTGTAAGATCAAGTCTTCCCCGCCCTCTTTGCCTTTCTGTTTTGACTGCAGCTTTTTCTCTGTCTCTTCGCTGTTTCTTGCTGCCATTCTACTGTGTGTTGACTCACTCCTACTGTCACTCTAGAAAATGGCCAAGTGTAACCACTTCCTAAAGCGTAGTATAGCGGGTTTGGGTTTTAATGTCAATCCGGGTCCTAGATTTGATGACTACTAGGTGAATTCTTATTATCTAGCAGTGAAACTTTAGTGCAAGTCCAAATTAACAGACAAACGAAGCAAGTTAAACGGTTGTTTTCAAGTCGAGAGAGGTCACCCGGATATGGTTCCCCCTAGACTGTAGTTAAGCCGGATTGCAATTTACCAAGTTCAGTTTTCATGAAAGTTATACTACGGAAGGTTCTTAAACAGTCTGAAGTCTCGACTAAAGGTCTCCAGACCCTCTCAATCTGAGTCTCCAGCGGGCGACTAACCTCCACCGGAGTAAACAGATTGAGGCCCTAACGAACCAAACCTCCACTACCGAAGTAAATTCGGTACAGAATAGTGAATTGGCTTCTCGACTAAAGTCGCCAATTCACTACCTTCAATTAAGGGTACTCTATCAACCTAGGCAGATATTCTCTTTCTAGTTTAAAGCAGAAACAACAGGAATTTGATCAGGATTCAAGTCATTCAATCATTCAAGCCTCAATCGAATATAATCAAATCATAAAATCTGTACTTGGGTTCATACAATCAGACCTAACATACAAATCTAGGGTTCCCCATACCCAGATGAATGGGGAAACTACTCCATGGAGAGAGAAGCAAAAGCAAATTCAGATGCGGAACTGTGAAGAATGAATTTCTGCTCCTGGTCGTCGATCGGCACTTCTCCAAGCTCAAGCCGGGCTCCAATGGTGATGAAGATCAAGCTATGGCACTTGGGAACTCTGGTTCATCGCTTTCTCTCTCTAGGAATCGCTCTGTCTCTCTAAAACTCGGAACCCTTGATTTTTAGCCTTCTTTTCCTTTAAAACTCCTGCCTGTCACGATACCCGGTCGAAATACCCGGTCGCGTATTTTGGGTCGCGACCGGGTACAAATGAAACGTGCCGTTTGGCCTCAGGGAAAAATCCCCGGTCTAGGCCAATAATCCACGACCAGGGATTTAAGCTTCACGACCGGGACCCCTGCTGTTTCTCGGACGCGAAAACCTCTTTTTCCCGGTCTCCTCAAAATAATACCCGGCCGGGTATTTCTGGTCATGGCCGGGTATTTTTGTCCTCCAACACACTTCGACCCAAACGAGCTCCTTTCGACCCGAAACTCGTTTCTTCGCCTCGATTTCAACGCCAAGTCCTGAAATATGACATAAACGCACAACCTAGCGTGAAATCGGCTTAAAACACGAGAATCAACATCTCAAACGACTCAAGAACAGGGGTAAAAACATGTGTAATAAATGGTCTATCATGTGTCTTGTGGGACGTATGGGAAATCGAGAGAATCTAGTTTCTTTCTATAAGTTGACGAGTGAGCTGGGCACAAAAAGCCAAATTCAGCTATTATGCAAATGGGTGTATGTATGCGTCAGCACGTTGGATAAACGCTCCTTGTGATTAGCCATTAGATACGTTGCGCGTAATGAGCATGCTGCATATCCTGCATAGCCCAATAATCTCTTAGTAGTTTAACCATGATTGACTCGTTAAACTTTTTTGGAATATATAGGATTTTGTCAAAGTCCTCAAAATTAAGGAATTTTGAATATGCTCTCTGGTTGCGGCTGAGCGCGACCTTCCACACCAGAAAAGTTTACATTGAATTTGAACTCTCATTTTTTCAGGATCTTTTATAAATAAAATAATATTGTTTTTCATTTTAATTTAATGTTAGATGGCATCCAATATATATATGATCCTAGATTGTATATCAAACTTGGATAGAGAAATGCAAAGTATTTGACCGATCAATCAACGCATCGATCATAAGTGATTTGGCACAACAACCCTGTAAGCAGACTGTCCAAATTATTTTTACACTATGTTCATTTAGGATGGAAAGTGGGAGGAAAGGAAAAGTGTAAGGGAAAGCACAGGAACCAAGATGTTTTCCCTTGTTTTTTAAGCTTTACAACAGTAACTGAGGAAAGAAAATATAGGGAAAGTGTACTGTAGGAGGCTACCCTCCATTTCGGAGAGAAAGCTGGGTGGGAACTGGGGTTTCATTTTTTCGGATCCTTTTATTTTTTTCTTTCACAAAATTTCCTTTTGTTTTACTTTCCCAAATTTAGTGGCGTGGCTTCTCCACAATTCTCTCAAGTGGCACTTTTTTTTGGTAAGTGGTTTATGATGGGTTTGTAAGATTAAGAATATGAATATATTAATTAGTGAGATAATTAGTTAGCCAATGAGTTTAATTAGTGAGATAAACGAGTTAATATGTTTTTGAGAAGCATAGTTAGTAAATATTGCTTGTAATACACGTATATGTATCAGTACATATTTTATCTGTTTAAAACTTTCATATTCGTATTATTGTCAATTAATTTTATTTTTTTCCATTTATTTGATGGCTCCCGTACGTATTTTAGGGTGAACAAATTTGATCCACATTACATAATTAATGTAAATAGTATAAACACATAATTAAATTATTTAACTATTCTATCATCAATAAAATATAATACATATCACAATTCCCAATCTACTTTTTCCCTCCCACTTTCCCTTCCACTTTCCTCCATTAAACAACATTTTCTTTCCAATTCCCTCTAATTTCCCTCCCTTCCAAACTTAACCTCCCCTCCAAATTTTCCTACCCTCCCCTCCTTTTCCTCCCTTCCTTCATGAACATAGTGTTAGAGTATTAACTAGAAGAAGAAGGATTAGCTCTCTCCACTATTTTAATTCTTTCGTGTGTTTGTTTAGAATTTTCTTAAAAACAACAAAGATGAACTATTATTAGCCTACCATCTTTTTATACTTCGATTAGAACGAAAAATTAGGTAATTTGTTCAAACTGTTTGTCATATTCACATATATTTTAGTCCATTGAAGACAATGCCCTCTTTAAAGTGTGTGTGGGTGTGGAGGGGGAATGTGATGTGATGAGATGCTTTGCAATACTCTATACATGCTACATGTTTAATGGTTCAATTTCAAAGATTATATCCAATTGCCGTAGTTATCTTATCCATGTGAAATTTTTGAAACTAATAAAGATGTTTTTTCATCAATTGACTTGATTTGTCATCCACCAAGCATGATGTTAGAAATACACAAATTTTAGGGTTACAAGTAATAGTAATAGGGGGGGTATTTGCGGCAAATGAGGGCCGAGTAGGCTGGGGCATAAGTTAGGGACTTAGGGTATTATTAGGTTTTTCGGAGTATTTTCTATAAGTATGTACTTTGGGTCTTACGTTTGAAGGAATGAGAAAAGTATTAGCAAAGAATCTCTCTTAAAACCCCAATCTCCCTTCTCTAAACTTCGTAACCTATCCTTAATTGTCGAAGGCCATTCTTCTATTCGATCCTCAATTTCTTCTCTTCTAAATCCCTAATTATGTTCTTCCCAATATCAATTTCTAATCCTATTTCAAAGCCCTAAACAACCATAGTTCTTTCACATGTGCATTGCTCATCTTACTTTGAATCAATAAATCTAGAGATTTCACTTGATATAGGGAGGCTAGTGTAGAGACTAAGAAGAATGTGATAGCAATGGGATACTTTGATTATATTAATAAGCTTTGAATGTCATGATATTTAGATTCATTATAGATTTTTTAATTATGCATTGAGTGTCCACCTTTTCAAAGTTTTTTCCATGAGGTGAACTGTATCTTTGATCAAATGCAAAAACTACCTATCTAGACATGATCATATCGTATGAAATATGCCATGTTATGTTTTGAAATAAACTATGGAGTAAGGCCAACATGTGAAACATCTGTTAATATCACAAAATCAAGTTTCAGAAGAGATACTAGTTGATTTTCAGTGCCCTTGTTTGATGCTAGT